CCATTTTGTCTTTTAGTTGTATTTTTGAAGTGGTTGTGCGAGGCAGCAATTTCCGGTGTTTACCTATGCCGCCATCTTGGTTTCTCCCTCCATTAAGTTTTATACTTCTAAATATCATGCACATATTTTGTTATATTTACTTTTGGTATTTTATGTACTTGGTTTTTAAGAAAGTATACCATTTTCAGCTTGGTGCTCATTTATCTGGTTGAAATTGATTTTTGTACACTGATTTTGCAACCTTACCAAATTTTCATATTACTTCTAGTATTGTCTGCTGTATCTTTTGCCAAAAGTGATGTAAAATAAAAGCTGCTTTCTTTCTTTCTACTCTCTAGTCTCTTTTTCTTCTTAATCAGCATGTCCGACCTTTAATACTATTTTAAATAGAAGCAATACTGGTAGACAACCATTTTTGTTGACTTTATACAGCATGCTTTAAACCAGGGGTCCTTAAACTACGGCCCGCGGGCCACATGCAAATACAAATATTGTATTTGTTCCCGTTTTATTTTTTTACTTCAAAATAAGATATGTGCAGTGTTCATAGGAATTTGTTCATAGTTTTTTTTTAAACTATAGTCCGGCCCTCCAACGGTCTGAGGGACAGTGAACTGGCCCCCTGTTTAAAAAGTTTGAGGACCCCTGCTTTAAACGTTTTACCAGTATAAGGATTGCTATAGTTTTCTGTAGCCACCTTTTACTAGGATAAAGGAATTCCACTGCATTTCTAACTTGCTCAGGGTGTCTGTCTTAAATGGATGTTGAATTTAATCATCAGCTTTTCCTGAGAGACTCCTATGGTGCTTCTCCTCTCTATTAATGTGACAAATTATATTACTGGATTTCTCTATGCTTAAGCCATCTTTGTAGTCCTGAGATAAACTTAGTTTGGTCACTGGATTTATTTGTTGCTTTCACATTGTTAGATTTGCTTTGTTAATTTTACTTAGAATATTTTGCCTCAATGATTCACTTGAACTTTTCTATTTAACACTTTCCTTATCTGATTTTCGCATCAGAATCGTACTAGCTTAATAAAAGGAGTTGGAGAAGTTTTAGTAGAACAGCCCTGGCAGGTTTTTTTGGTGGATACATTTTCCCCCCACATTTTATTATGACATTTTTAACATATAACAAGGTTTAAAGAATTAATGAGCTAGAGTGTGAACTAATAAATAAATGTAAATGAAGAAAATTATAAATGAGATGAAAAGGTGTGAAATTAAAAGGAGAAATGACCTAATTAGAGTCCAAAGGAGAGAACAGGAATTATAGAAAGACATCATTTGAAGGAAAGAATGGCTAAACATTTTTCAGAACTAATGGAGGACATCAGATTTAGTGTTAACAATGAATTACAAAGTAAATAAAAAGATATCTACACCTAGAAATACTGTAGAAAAATTGTATAAAACACAAATCTGTTTCCCATCTGAAGCTTAATATACTTTTTCATTGATAATATTTTTCTTTTTACAAATTTTTATAGATGCACTTTCAGAGCAGCCTGATCATTTTTAATGATCTATTATTCCTTTCATAATTTAGATTTCCTTCTTTATCTTTAAAGTATTAAATCTAGTACTTTATATCTGATAATTACAATCTAAAATCCTTGGAGGTCTTATTCTACCATTTTGTTGTTGCTGTTATTGCTATTAATGCTTTTCTGCTGACGATTGTTGGTCGTGGCTTATTGCTTTTTGATCTTTGTTCTTTAGTGTGGCTCATCTTTATCTTGGGGAATACTGGAGGGTGGCCTGGGTTGAGGTGGTATTCATCCAGACAGTGTGGGTTTTGCTTGTGTCAGATTTTCCACAACATTTACCAAACAGAACTATTTTAAATTAATTTATTGGCTTAAGATTTGCCAGACAAGGCATGTGGCAACATTTTTAAACACAAACTCATTCGTTAGAATGTATTGCAAATTTTCAAGTTTAACTTTTTCAAACTCAGAGCATTCACTTTAAGAAAGGCAAGTTTCCCTATTGATTTTTCCAGCTGATGGATTTTTTCCTCACCCACCTATTTACTGACTCATCATCTTTTTGAGTCCAAGGTGATTTAACAGCCATCTGTCTTCCATTAAATTCAAAGCTCAGGATTCCTGGTTTTGGCCATTTGCACCTCTTACTTCTACATGTACTTCCCACTCCTGTGTCAGCAAGTGAGGATTTCACTTACTTATAAGCTTACCTACACAATTGGATTTTTTCCCCTCTAGCATTTCTTTGACTTTATGTTAAAAGGATTTTAGACTATACAGTTATCTGTATTGCAAGAAATAGAAGTTGCATGTTTTTTTTTTTTTTATCATCTTGAACATTGTTACTCTAGATCAGGGGTAGGGAACCTTTTTTCTGCCAAGGGCCATTTGGATATGTATAACATTATTTCCTTAATACAATTGACTTAATATAAATTTATGTTGCTACGAAAAAAGCTCCCAAACTTATTGCATTTCGAGTCCCACCTGCAGTTGCCTTGGCAGGGCCTGACCAAATGATTTCACAGGCCTTACGCAGCCAGTGGGCCTGACGTTCCCCATCCTTGTCTAGATTTTGGAACTCAGTCGCAGATTTCTGTTGCTAGTTCTCTCCATTCAGTTAGGCTGCTGTATCATACACATTTTTAAAAAATATATTTGTGGGGAAGGGATTTTTGTAGAAGAAAATAGTGATAATTTCTAATGTTTGAGATTATAAAAATTAATGGTATCTTTCTGTATCAGGTAGTAGAACTGCAGAATAGATTATCGGAAGAATCGAAGAAAGCAGATAAATTAGATTTTGAATATAAGCGGCTAAAAGAAAAAGTTGATAGTCTTCAAAAAGAAAAGGATGTGAGTATATATATTAGGGATTTTGGTTTTCAGGACTACTAATATTAAAATGGATATTTAATTCATGCTTTGTGGTTAATTCCTTCTATTTATAAATTTAAAAATTCGAGATCCTATTTATTTTTAAATTTAAACTTAAGATTCACATGTATATTTCAGAAATAGATCTAAAATAAAAGATTAAAAGAATGTTTTTACTTCTAATTTTATGTATATTTATTATTCTACTGTTTTATATTGTTTTGCTCATGACTTTTTGTAAGTTTATGTAGAATTTTTGTTTTCTGTATGATTATTATAGAAGACACAATTCTTTTGGTTGTTATTCAGCATATTTTGAATCATTTAAAAATATTTTCTCTATCATGATTTTGATTATTTAAATTCTTTGTTTGATTTTTTTGTGTTTAGTAAAAAGAATGTTATATACATAATCAGGTACTTATTGTTAAGGATGGTGTAGACAGTTGTGTTTCTTATGTTTAACTGTGGATAGCATATTGCCTTGCACATTGTTGATATTCAGTACTGTAAAGTGAGAAAAAATTATTGTAATCTTTTACCTTCGGTGATCCTTTCATAGAAGATCAAAACATCCATGTTCCCTACTATTTATCATTTTATTAGGGAAGGCAAAGACCACTAGTGAATAAACTCATAAAACCTCCACTAACTTTCCTTGTTTTTAATCTCTCCAGAGGTTAAGAACAGAAAGGGATTCTCTGAAGGAAACCATTGAAGAACTTCGTTGTGTACAGGCTCAAGAAGGGCAGCTCACAACTCAAGGTAAAACCATTTCAGTAGCCCAAGCAAAATTACTTATTTCTAATACAGTATTAGTATAAATGATTAGATTCATTTAAGATGATTGGACCAATAGATAAAAACGAAAAATTGGTGAAGTGGCCAGTTGAAATGAAAAATTGTACAGATTTTAAATTGTTACATAGATATTGTGGCAAAAAGTCTATAGTTACAGAATCAAATTTACTTGCCTACTTTATATTTTAATTATATTTAAATATTTTGATTTTACTAGCTCAAAAGTATACATGTGTTAAATCATCTCTGTTAATAATAAATCTAGAAAGTCTTATTCTGGAAAGGTCCTCATAACCTCTTTAAAAATATATCAAATTCACCCTAGCCAATTTTGCTCAATGGTTGGAGCATTAGACCACTGATTGAAGGGTTTTGGGTCAAGGGTACAAACAATCAGTGTGTCTCTCTCACATCAATGTATCTTTCTCTCTGTCTCTCCCCCTCCCTTGCACACTCTAAATATCAATAGAAAAAGATATCCTCAGGTGAGGATTAATATTATATATATATCAAACTCAAATTCAGTGATTTGTTTTTCAACTGATATATGGAGTTGATATCAATTTTAACCCCTAGAGTGCCGGGGAGCGTGATTGCGCTCCTCCTGTCTTTTGCCAAAAGTGCCGGGAGCGCTATCAAAGCTTCGAAATGGCGTCCAGTTCTAAGTCTGCTTTTATTAGTGATGATGATATTGCTAAATACATCAATGTAGTAAAGGTTTCCTTAAGTTTTTGAATATGTAACTTCATTTACTTGAGATTCATAATTTTTTTCCTAAACTGCTGTAAAATCAAAAATGCCTTGGCAATTTTAGCATAGTTCCTAGGATATTGGTTGGCACTCAAAGGGTTAAGGAACTTTATTTTTTAAATCCTCACCCGAGGATATGCCTATTTATTTTAGAGAGAGAAGAAGGGAGAGGGAGAGAAAGAAGGGGTGGGGAGAGAGACATCAATGGGAGAGAGAAACATCGATTGGATGCCTCCCATACCCATCCCAACAGGAAATAGAACCCACAACCTAGATTATGTGCCCTGACCAGGAATCAAACCCACAACCTTTCAGTGTATGGGACAACACTCCAACCAACTGAGCCACCTGGCCAGGTTTAAGGGACTTTTATCTAAAGAAAAAAGTGCTCTTATCACAGGAAATCATTTAAGACTTTATATTATTAAGGTGATAGTACTGCCGATAGCAGTTTACAGATTCAGTGCAATCCTTATTAAAATACCAACAGCATTTTTTCCAGAAATAAAAATACCCACCCTAAAATTCATATGGAATCCCAAGGAATCCTGAATAGCCAAGACAATCTTGAAAAAAAAGAAAAAGTTGTGAGACTCATGACTTCTTGATTTCAAAACATAGTATAAAGCTAGTAATCAAAACAACATGCTACAGACATATATAAACCAATGGAACAGAAAAGAGTGCCCAGAAATAAATCCTCACATATGTGGTCAATTGATTTTCAACAAAAGTGTCCAAGACCATTCAATGGAGCAAGGAAAATCTTCTCAACAAATTGTGCTGGAAAAACTGGATATCTACATCCAAAAGCATGAAGTTGGACCTTTACACTATATCAAAATTGAACTCAAAATGAGTCAAAGACCTAAATGTAAGGACTAAAACTATAAAACATTTTGAAGAAACTATAGAGGAAATTCGAAATGACATTGGATTTGGCAGTGATTCCTTGAAATTGATACCAAGAACACAGGCATCAAAAGAAATAATAGCCGAAACCGGTTTGGCTCAGTGGATAGAGCGTCGGCCTGCGGACTGAAAGGTCCCAGGTTCGATTCCGGTCAAGGGCATGTACCTTGGTTGCGGGCACATCCCCAGTAGGAGATGTGCAGGAGGCAGCTGATCGATGTTTCTCTCTCATCGATGTTTCTAACTCTCTATCTCTCTCCCTTCCTTTCTGTAAAAAATCAATAAAATATATTAAAAAAAGAAATAATAAACAGGGCTTCATCAAAATTAAAAACTTTTGTGTATCAAAGGACATTATAACAGTGAAAAGTCAACCCACAAAATGGAAGAAAATATTTGCAAATCATATATCTACCAAGTGATTGATATACAGAATATATAAAGAACTTCTACAACTCAATAACAATAAAAAACAGCTCAGTTTACAAATGGGCATAGGTACTGAATAGGGATTTCTCCAAAAATGTACAGATATCCAATAAGTACATGAAAAGATGCTCAAGATCAGTACTCATTAGAGATATGCAAATCAAAATCACAACGAGATACCACTTTGCAAACATTTGGTTGGCTGTAACCAAAAAGGGAAAAAAGGAAACTAACAGTTGTTGGGGAGGGTGGGGAGAAATTGGAAACCTCTTGTGTGGCTGATTAATGTAAAATTAATAAGGGCAGCCACTGTGGAAGAGTTTGGTGGTTCTTCAAAAAGTTAAAACATAGCCCTGGCCGGTTTGGCTCGGTGGATAGAGTATTGGCCTGGGGACTGAGTGGTCCCGGGTTCGATTCTGGTCAAGGGAACATGCCCAGGTTGTGGGCTCGATCCCCAGTAGGGGGTGTGCAGGAGGCAGCCGATCAATGATTCTCTCTCGGCATTGATATTTCTATCTCTCCCTTCCTCTCCCAAATCAATAAAAATATATTTTTAAAGAAAAGTTAAGCCCTGACCGGTTTGGCTCAGTGGATAGAGCGTCGGCCTGTGGACTCAAGGGTCCCAGGTTCGATTCCAGTCAAGGGCATGTACCTTGGATGCGGGCACATCCCCAGTAGGGGGTGTGCAGGAGGCAGCTGATCGATGTTTCTCTCTCATCGATGTTTCTAACTTTCTATCCCTCTCCCTTCCTCTCTGTAAAAAATCAATAAAATATATATTTTTTTTTAAAAAAAGAAAAAAAGAACCAAGATGGTGGCATAATTAAATAAATGCCTGTACTTGCCCCCTCCCACAACCACATCAAAATTACAACTAAAATACAGAGTAACTATCATCCAGAACCGCGGGAAAGCTGGCTGAGTGGAAGTATACAACTAGAGAGGTAAAGAAGAAAGCACACTGAGACTGTAGGAGGTGCGGAGGCATGGAACGGGCTGGTAGGGAGATCGTCTCTGTGGAGGCTGCCTGGAGGAGCAAGGAGTCCCAGCCCCACACCAGAACCCCAGCCCAGGGTCCCAGAGCTGGGGAAAGAAGTCCCTACGGGCCATAAGAATTACAGACTAAAACCAGTGCAGATTGGGGCTGAGTGACACACAAGCTGCTGGAGACAGAGCTGCTCCTCTTAAAAGGCCAGCACCGTAAACTGAATTTACAAACTCCCATTTCCTCTAACCTGCAGTGCTGGGCAAGGTTCTGGGGGACCCAGACACATATGGGGAGAAACTGGACTTTCTGGCATTGGGGCAGGAACACAGGGCTTGCTTTCTTCCAGACGGAGGTGCTGGCAGATGCTCCTCTTAAAAGGCCGGCACCGCAAACTAAATTTACAAGCTCCCACTTCCTCTGAGCTCCAGTGCCGGGTGAGGCTCTGGGGGACCCAGACACATACGGGGAGAAACTGGACTGTCTGACATCGGACCAGGAACTTGGGGGCAGCTTTCTTCCAGACGGAGGTGCTTGCAGCAGTCATTGTTCCCATGCTGGGATCTCCCTGGTGCAAGGCTGACTGGCAGCCTTTCTGTACGCTCTGCCCTGGAGATTCCCTGAGACCTCACCCGTCCGTCCGTTCCCCCCAATTTACAACCCCACCCAAGCTTTGTGCAGCACCTTTTGCATATGAATGGCCTGTCCTTTCTCAGCCTAAAACCTGTCAAACAAGGTGCAGCTAGGTCAGGGAGCCCCAAAGCTATAAATAAAAGGCCCAAGGCTGACATCCAGCACCAGCCTGCCTTGCTTCACAGCTGGGCCTTGCATAGACACTTCCAAACCTGATACAAAGAAGAGGAATCTACAGATCTCTCTGTAGCTCTTGCTGGGTGGCCCCAGGCAGTAGCTGACTTTGCAACTTCCTGGAGATCCAAGATCTAGTGTACCCAGTGGTCAGTGTGAGAGCATACCAGATTACAACTCTTCACATCCATAAGTGACACACTCAAGGGGCAGAGTCAGGGAGCACCAATGCCCTACTGAAGCAAGTACTGCTCCATAAGGGTGTCTCCAGCACAGCAGCTCTCCCACTGTTGTCACAGCTGGTCCCACAGCCAATTGGCCTGGAGATCAATTCCTCACAGTGACACCAACAGCAATCAAGGCTAAACTACAACAAGACTGTGCTCACAGCCAACAAAGGGGTGCACCAAGAGTGTCCACCTCAGATGATTGGGGAGGTTGAGCCACTGGGCCCTATAGGACACCTACTACACAAGGCCACTCTATCAACTCAAGGAGACTTAGCAGTTACCCAATACATAGAAACAACACAGGGAAGCAGCCAAAATGCAGAGACAAAGAAACAGGTCACAAATGAAAGAAATGGAAGAAAGCAAACTACTGGATATAGAATTCAAAACCATAGTTATAAGGTTACTCAAGAATCTTCTAGAAACCTCCAAAGAACTTAGTGAGACCTTCAAAGATCTTAGTGAGAATGCCAAAAAAATTGAGAAGGACCAGTCAGAAATTAAGCATACACTGATTGAAATAAAGAATAATATATAGGGATTCAACAGTAGATTAGAGGATCCTGAGAATCAAGTCAATGATTTGAAATATGAGGAAGCAAAAAACACCCAACCAGAAGAGCAAGAAGAAAAAAGAATCCAAAAATATGTAGATAGTGTAAGGAGCCTCTGGGACAACTTCAAGTGTACCAACATTCACATTATGGGGGTGCCAGAAGAAGAGAGAGAGCAAGATATTGTTGAAAACCTATTTGAAGAAATAATGACAGAAAACTTCCCCTACCTGGTGAAAGAAATAGACTTACAAGTCCAGGAAGCACAGAGAACCCCAAACAAGAGGAATCCAAAGAAGACCCCTCCAAGACACATCCTAATTAAAATGCCAAGGGCAAAAGACAAAGAGAGAATCTTAAAAGCAGCAAGAGTTACCTACAAGGGAGTGCCCATATGACTGTTGGCTGATTTCTCAACAGAAACTATGCAGGCCAGAAGGGAGTGGCAAGAAATATTCAAAGTGATGAACAGCAAGAACTTACAACCAAGAATACTCTACCCAGCAAAGCTATCATTTAGAATTGAAGGTCATTTAAAGAGCTTCACAGACAAGAACAAGCTAAAGGAGTTCATCACCACCAACCAGTATTATATGAAACTAGAGGCCCTGGTGCACAAAATTCTTGCACTGGGTGGGTGTCTCTCAGCCCAGCCTGCTCCCTCTCACAGTCTGGGAGCCCTCAGGGGATGTCCTATTGACGGCTTAGGCCCGCTCCCTGTGGGGAGCGGGCCTAAGCCACAGTCTTGCCACAGCAGCTCAGAGCACACCCCCCTGGGCGAGTCTGTGGGTCTTCTGGGGGACTTGCTCCAAGGGCAGGTGGCGCAGCATGCCTGCCCGCAAACCCCCGGTGGGAGTGGCCTCAGAGCTGGGTGGTGCCAGGGCTGGGGATGGGCTTTGAGCCGCGCCGCAGCCACTCAAAGCCTGCCCCCAACCCTGGTGTGTGGTGTGTGGTGTGTGTCTGCTGGGGCTGGGGGCTGAGCTGGTCGTGCCCTGAGCTGGTCATGATGTCTGGCCTAATTTGCATATTTCTCTCTTATTATATAGGAAGGATGCTGAAGGGTATTCTTTAAGAAGAGGAAAAGGAAGAAAAGGGTAAAGATAAAAAATTATGAACAACAAAGTGACAACAAATACATATCAACAAGTGAATCTAAAAATCAAGTGAATAAAAAATCTGATGAACAGAATAAACTGGTGAATGGAATAGAATCAGGGGCATGGAAATGGAACAGACTGACGACTCTCAGAGGGAAAGGGGTGTGGGGGTGTGTGGGAAGAGATTAGACAAAGATCTTATATGCATGTATGCATTACCTATGGACGCAGACAATAGGGTGGCGAGGGCCTGGGATCGGGTGGGAACTGGTGGAGGGGAACTATTAAGGGGGGAGGGGGGAGAAATAGGGACATCTGTAATCTCAGCAATAAATTTTTTTTTAAAAAAAGTTAAAAGATAAGCCCTAACCGGTTTGGCTTAGTGGATAGAGCGTCAGTCTGTGGACTGAGGGGTCCGGGGTTCGATTCCGGTCAAGGGCATGTACCTTAGTTGCGGGCACATCCCCAGTGGGGAATGTGCAGGAGGCAGCTGATCGATGTTTCTCTCTCACTGATGTTTCTAACTCTCTATCCCTCTCCCTTCCTGTCTGTAAAAAAATCAATAAAATATATTTTTAAAAAAAAAAGATAAAATTACCGCCCTAGCCAGTTTGGCTCAGTGGATAGAGTGTTGGACTGCGGACAGAGGGTCCCAGGTTAAATTCTGGTCAAGGGCACATGCCTTGGTTGCAGGCTCAATCCCCAGTGTGGGGCATGTAGGAGGCAGCCAATCAATGATTTTCTCTCATCATTGATGTTTCTATCTCTCTCTCCCCCACTCCCTTCCTCTCTGAAATCAATAAAAGTATTTAAAAAAAAGATAAAATTACCAAATTTTGCAATGCCATTTCTAAGTATATACCCAAAAGAATTCAAAGTATATACCCAAAGTATATATCAATTTTAAGTATATATCCCAAAAGACTCAACTAGATACTGGTATACCAATATTCATAGTAGCATTATTCAAAAGATAGAAACAACCCATGTGTTTATCAACAGATGAATGAATAAAGAAAATGTGGTATACACATACCATGGAATGAAATAAAAAGCCATAAAAAGGAATAAAGTTCTGATAAATGCTGCATGAATGAATTTTTAAAATATTATGTTAAGTGAAATAAGCCAGATACAAAAGGACAAATATTGGTATGATTCCACTTTATCTAGGATTGGCAAGTTTATTGAGAGAGAAGGTAAAAGTTAATGGGGGATGGTAGTGGAGAAAGGAATGGGGAGTTATTGCTTAATCGTTACAGAATTAAGTTTTGGGTGATGAATTTTAGACATAGACAGTGGTGATGATTCCACAACATAGTGAATTTACTTACTGCCATTCAGTTGTACACTTAAAAATGGAAATGATCTGGCTGGTATGGCTCAATGGTTGAGCATCGACCCATGGACCAAGAGATCACCAGTTTGATTCCAGGTTAGGGCACATTTGCAGGTTCGATCCCCAGTAGGGATGTGCAGGAGGCAGCTGATCGATGTTTCTCTCTCATCGATGTTTCTCTCTGTCCCTCTTCCTTCCTCTCTCTCTCAAATCAATAAAATAAAATATTTTTAAAAATTGTTCAAATGACATAATAATAATAATAATAATGTAAAACAACTGTGACATGATCTTTTACTTGACTAAAACAAAGATTTTAGCTGTTAAAATTGATGCTCAAAGTAGGATTTCATCTAGAAAGTAAAGGAAATGGTGGTGTTCTCTCTTACCCTTACATTCATGTTTACATATTTATAGGATTAATGCCTCTGGGAAGTCAGGAGTCTTCAGATAGTCTGGCAGCAGAGATTGTTACACCTGAAATCAGGTAAGGAGATCATAAAGTTCAGTCACAGTGCACTATATTTCTGGAGAAAACTTACTTTTCTATAATGTGAAGAGGATTATTTCCTTACTAGAGGCCTGGTGCACGAATTCAGCCTGGTCTGAAAGATCAGGCCGAAACCGGCTCTCCGACATCCCCTGAGGGGTCCCAGATTGCGAGAGGGAGCAGGCCAGGCCGAGGGACCCCCACCAGTGCACTCTCTGGGTCGGGGCGGGATGCAGGAGGGCTCCAGGGCATGTCGCAAGCTAACCTACCAGTCAGAGCGTCTGCCCCCAGTGGTCAGTGCACGTCATAGCAACCGGTCGACCGGTCAGCTGTCTACCCCCGCAATGGTCAGTGCATGTCATAGCAAGCTGTTAAGTGACCTTAGCATATCAGTAGCATATTACGGTTTGATTGGTTGAATGGACTACCAGATGACCGGACACTTAGCATGTTAAGCTTTTATTATATAGGATTCTTTATTACTAACACTTTTAGCATGAACTCGGTAGCAAATGTCCATGATTTCAGCATGTTAGGTGCATTTTTCAACTGGCCCAAGAGACTTGATCTTCTTACTTCAGTAGGACAGTGTTTCACACATGTACAGCAAACTGACATCTCTCTGCTTGGGTACCCTTAGCAAACATTTAGCCATAAAACCACTTGACCCCAAAGCAAACGCTATGTTTAGCCATCAGTCTGCAAAGTAATTCGTCACTAAAACTCATCTTTTAATTAGGTGGAATGGTCTGGGAAAGATTTAATACAGTAGACAGGAGGAAATATCTCCCCATCTGTTCTATTCTTCCCTCACTAGTATCTTACATTTTTATTCATAGCATTTTAAAAATTCCTTTTATTGCAATATGTGCCTGACTTTATATATAAGAATAAAAGACTGGCCTGGCTGGTGTGGCTCAGTGATTGAGCATCGACCCATGAACCAGGAGGTTACCATTTCCATTCCCAGTCAGGGCACATGCCCAGGTTGTGGGCTCGATCTCCAGTAGGGGGCTTGCAGGAGGCGGCCAGTCAATGATTCTTATCGATGTTTCTCTCTCTCCCTTCCCTGTTCTCTCTCTCTAAAATTAATAACAACATATATTTTGAAAAAAGAATAAAAGACTGGTGGGGAGACACCAAGTGTCCAGGAGAAAGAGAATGCTGAATCTGAATATTATTTTTACCTTCTGTGAGTCTGTTTGCCCCCTTTTTAAATTGACACTGGCCTTGATTCTTTTTAATATCCTTGGTGGTTTAAGAGTTTTATAAACTGATTTAAAATAGGCATTAAAAACTTGTTAAGTAAATAAAGACTATTGATTGTTGTTGGCATTTATTTAAGAAGGAAACACAAAAGGAGTATAATGCAACACCAACTCTGGAAGCATCTTGTATACCTTTTTCTTTTCTGCCATCTGAGGTGGTACTTTATATTGGACTGTTAAAATTTGAATGAATGATATTGGACCGTTAAAATTTGAATGAATGAACACATTATTTATGAATATTCATAAATAAATGGTTATGTCCAAAAAAAATTTTTAAGGGAGCTTATTGGTAATGCAGTTGGATTTTTAAATTGAGGAAAAGAACAATGATAAAGATTCAACAAATGAAATGACTTTTTTGAGTATGACTCAATAAAATTAAAATATACTCTGTGTCTAGAGAGCTATCAAGATAATGAAATGGTAAAAGGCACAAAAATTTGCAACATGTGTTACAGACAATGAGCTAATAGATTTAATACATAATGAAATATACCTATCAAATTTCAAAAACTACTATAAGTGGTAATTGTCACTGATATTAAGGGTATGGAGAAATTGGGAACTCATAAATGAAGAGTAAACATAACGTGGTACAACTTTTTAAAAATTAATTTTTTAATAATGAGATATAATTGACATATTAATTGTATTAATTTCAGTTATACAACATAATGATGTGACATATGTATATATTGTGAAATAATTACCATAATCAGTTTAGTTAAGATCCATCACCACACTTTTTTTTTTTTTTAATCCTCACCAAAGGATATTTATTCATGATTTTTAGAGAGAGTGGAAGGGAAGGGGAGAGACAGAGAAACATTGGTGTGAGAGAGTCACATCATTTGGTTGCCTCCCACACCTGCTTCGACCAGGGCCACGATTGAGCCTGCAACTGAGGTACACTCCCTTGACCGGAATCGAACCCAAGACCCTTCTGTCTGCCGGCCAATGCTCTATTCACTAAGCCAGACCAGCCAGGGCACAAATTTTTATTCTTATGGTGGTACAACTTTTTTTCTGAGCATTTTGGCAAAAAGTGTATATTATCTAAATGTGACTATCTTTTGACCCAAAATTTATTTCTCTGGGAATTAATCCTAAGGAAATAACGAAGGATATACACAAAGGTATATTTATAAAGCTGATGATTATTAGCATATTAAATCTCAAAATTGGGAACAACCTAAATGCCCAATGATTAAATTAAATAACAATTCTTCAATGTGTTAATGTGTCATTTAAAATATTAAAGTATACTATTTACTGATATGAAATGATTGTGAAAATTTAAGTATAAATAGCAGATATCAATGAAACATACTATGTGATCCATTTTTTAAACTGCTGGCATGTGTGTACATATGCATCGCAGTAGAAGGCTGTATTTCAGCAGCAATTATTTTACACCATAGGGTTATAGAGGGTTTCTATTTTCTATTTTCTTCTCATTTATCCTTTCTTCTCCCCCCCTACAATGAGTGTTTTTACTTACAGTTCAAAAATATGTTAAAGTCATGTTCATACATAAAATATACCAAGTTTTATATAATTGCTTGTGTTGGGCCACAAAGTTGACTTTCATATTTTCAACAGCAAAAGTAAAATTGCTTTATAAGATTTATGGTGTTTATAAAATAAGAGCAGACTGTTTTGTGTATACTTGTTTTGTTTTTGTGTTTTCTTTTCCATGAGAAGCACAGCTTTTTATAGCATCTGGTATGAGTAAATTCAGAATGAATTATATTTTCAAGAAGTAGATCTTCAGTTATATCTTGACATGGATTAATATTCAATTATATCGTCCCTGCAGTAAATGTAGTGGCAAGCTTTTTGTGGCTGTTGCTATTAACATCCCTCAGTGTAAGCTTTTGTCATAACACAGGATCCCACAGCAATGCAGTCTAATAAGTTGGCTCTGATAATCTAGTTTGTTACAAAAATTTTACGTATATATAGGAATGGGTGGACTGCATATCTTTTTTTAAAAAATATATTTTATTGACTTTTTACAGAGAGGAAGGGAGAGGGATAGAGAGAGTCAGAAACAATGATGAGAGAGAAACATCGATCAGCTGCCTCCTGTACACTCCCCACTGGGGATGTGCCCACAACCAAGGTACATGCCCTTGACCGGAATCGAACCTGGGACCCTTGAGTCCACAGGCCGACTCTCTATCCACTGAGCCAAACCAGTCAGGGCTGGACTGCATATCTTGGAGGCATTCTTCTTTGGATAGTATATCTTGCCATCAAATGATTAATAATTTAAGAATATGGCACTAGAGATCATGTTTTTTATAAGTACTAAAGAACATATATGTAAATGCTTTCATAGCTTCAATGTGCAAATCAGAAAAAAAATAGGATTTTGAAATCTCTTTCATTACAAATCATTATATTTGGAGAGTTACCTTCAGATTATCCATTTTCAAAAAGAAAGTACTTAAGCCCCGAGATGTAATGTCTTATACAGTTACAACAGGAGCTGCATTCTTTGCAGGTACTTTGTTTTTCATTTCTGTTCTATGTATTAAAGCTGTAACTATACTTAGCTGGATTTTGATAACTATACTAGAGGCCCAGTGCACCGGATTTGTGCACCGGTGGGTCCCTCGGCCTGGCCTGTGCCCTCTCGCAATGTGGGACCCCTCGGGGGATGTCGGACTGCCAGTTTTGGCCCAAACCCCACAGGCCAGGCCGAGGGACCCCACCAGTGCACAAATCCGTGCACCTGGCCTCTAGTATGCATATAAGATCTTTGGTTAATCTCTTCCCACCCTCCCCCCTTCCCTCTGAGATTCATCAGTCTGTTCCATGTTTCCATGCCTGTGCATTGAGTGTCTGCCCCCTGGTGGTCAGTGCGTGTCTTAGCTACCGGTCAAATGGTCACTTAGGCTTTTATATATATAGATTGTATTAATGTACCAGATAATCAGTTTTTCTTGTACTCATTTAGGGAGAAACTTATTCGTCTTCAGCATGAAAATAAGATATTAAAACTTAATCAAGAGGGTTCAGACAATGAAAAAATTGCCTTATTGCAAAGCCTTCTGGATGATGCAAATCTTCGGAAGAATGAACTGGAGACAGAGAATAGGTAGGAATGTATATAGGCAGCTGCATTGAGCCACAGGTATTCTCGATTATTTGCCTTGATTTTGATTCTCTTAAACCATGGTTGGGGAGCATCCAGCCTGTGGCTTGTATATGGCCCCCGAAATCATTTGGTCTGGCCCTGCCAAGGCATTAGGGGTGAGTTAATTAAATGTTTGACCAAATATAAAAGGCTAATTTTTAAGTTGATAATTTCATATGGGCTGCGAAGGATGTTATAAATATCCAAATGGCCCTTGGCAGAGTGGGCTGCGAAGGATGTTATAAATATCCAAATGGCCTTTGGCAGAAAAAAGGTTCCCTTCCCCTGCAGCTTAAACAAAGGCATGAATTATATTTTGAGAAGTGATATGTGTTAATTCCATTTCCTTTTAAGAGAACTTTAAGCTGTTTCTCCATTTATGGACAGACTTGCCAAAAGTACTGTGCCTCTTTATAATAGTATTCCCTTCTCTATTTCTTCAAGCAAAATGATCTCAAAGCCCTACATTTCCCCTTTCTAATCACAAATTAAAGCTACTTCAAACTTGAGCAGTTTTATTACTATGTTTGCTTTTTGTCCATTTCCTGTTACTGGGCTTTTGAGTTGCTTTCAAGTCTTTCCAAAGAACATCTTGGTATGGACTGACTATGTTTTATGACATTTACAGTAGCCTCCACCTAATAGGCTTGCAATATTTTTGACTAATTTTAAAAATGGCTAAGGTGGGTATTTGAAATAGTCTTATAGTTTGATGTATACTGCATTTTCATATTGCTTTCTGAAAAGTTAGACAATTAACATTCTACTCGTAATGTACCTTTCTTCATATTGAATATAGATTTTCAGATAATTCTTTCACTATTGAAAACCTACTCAAATATTATATTTCCTGATGTGAAAAACATCAATTATTATAGATTTGATTGTATTTTTACTGCAGCTTTCACTAACTTATAGAATGTAGGTTTATGATCAGAATTTCTTGTACCTTCTTGAGTAAAAAAAAAAAACCAAAACATCTTATTACACTTTCTGTCTAGTTAGATTCTGAATACTGATTTCCCTGATTTGTCCTTGATTTGGGGCAGTCTGTCTTTTACTACTACCATCTCACTAAAATATTTCTTATTGAAATAACTAGTCATCTGTTAAATGGCCAATCCAGTGGGAGCAATTAAGACTTTATCTTTCCTTATCTCTCTGCAAATAATTCATTGTTGTTGATCATCCCCTCCTTCCTCGAACTTTTTTTTTTTTATTTCAGTAACTTCCTTGTCTTGTGTTTTTCCAGATTTTCTTATTATTTATTCTCCAGGTGAGATTCCTCTTTCTACTCTGTGCTTGGTGGTTTGCTGTGGACCACCTTTTTACTCTTCTGCTTTTCTTCACATTCTTCCTAGTCAGTATCCTAAGTGTTATTTTTTATTCCTTGTGTTCTTGTGCCTTCCCAGTACATTTCCTCTCTGTCCCTCCTGTTTCAGACATATGTGGTAATTAGTGTAGTAGCATTTTCCGGGCCTTCATGCGTGCTCTGTGACCTTTTTGATACATCATTCACTCTCAAACCAGCGTGATCTTTCTAAAATATTATCTGATCGTGTATCTTCCTTCTGGCAGTCCTTAACATTATCCAAGACCTAGGGAACCAAACCGGGCTACTGAATGTTGCATCATAATGACCTAGAGAATTTATGAAGATTGAGCTTCAGAATCAGCATTATTAAAGGTTGGCTGGGTTATTCCAGTTCCAGCCTAATTTTAGGCCATCTTTTTTTTAAGTTCCTGATACTTTTTCATTTTACACAAGATTGTACCCAACTTCTCCTTTTCTTCTCTGGTTTCATCTTCAGCTGTTCTTACCCCTCATAACTTATTCTTCAGCCATACCATTCATGAACTTACTGTACCCTCTCATTTTTCTGTGTACTTTGGACATGTTCAGTTCTCTGTCTTAAATTCCCTTTTTTATCCTTAACTACATATTTTATTTGTTATTCTAATCTCAGTTTAAGTCAGGCCTGTCCTAATTTCTCCACACAATTAGGTACAGACCTCGCTTCTCTGAGCAGTCATCATTCTTTTGTATACATCTTGCACTATGTTGAAGTATTTATGTCATATTTATTTTGTTTACATTTTGCCTCCCCACTAAATTCCTTAAGTGCAGGGATCTTTAACACTTGTGTTGAGCATAGTGCCTGACACATAGTTTGACTAAATGTATGTCAAAGTGAATTTCAGATAAATAGATATGCATAGGTACATTAATTCAACAGAATGTGTCCACAAAACACTACATTGGAAATCATAGAAATTTCATGCACTATGAAAATAATTTAAAAAGTGAGCAACTACTACTATAACCTTAGGCTTTATTTTGTTAATTATACTGTCTCTAACCATATGACAACCTAAGAAAAAAGATATAAGTTAAGTCAGAATTTGGAAAATTAATGTACATTTGATTTCTAGGTTGGTGAATCAAAGACTTCTGGAAGTACAGTCACAGGTTGAAGAATTGCAAAAGTCTTTACAGGATCAAGGATCAAAAGCAGAGGATGTAAGTTTTAATATGTACCAACCATGGTCCAACAGTTCCATAGTATTAACAAAACCTATAACTTTTATTCTTTTACCTGATGTTCTCTATCAAAATACTTTATAATTATGTATATTGACTATAGAAAAGAAACAATGTTTTCCTTTTACTAGCATTCCCAAAAAGAGCCAAATGATACCTTATTGTCTCTTTCCGATTTATTCTGCTGGGAATTAGAAGTTTATTTGTAGCTATCAACTAAGAAGTTAATTGAGCTTTATGTTTTACAAGCGCTCAACTCAGATTTCAAAGTATAGAGTTTTCCCCCGTGGCCAAAAACAAACAAAAAACAATGCTAATAGAACTTAACATGTTCAGGTAGAAATTTTTTATGTAAAATTGATATTCAAGAAAATTGTCATCTCTAGAATCCCATCATCTTTAAATTCTGAATCCCTCTTGCTACCCACCCCTAATACACACTCAAATTAAGTTCACAACCTGTTAAAAATATTTCCTTAGCCACTCTGCATATCTGTCATAGCCCTGCCTGCTTGACTGGCATGCTCAAATCTAGAGGGTAGTAAATGTGTTGAGCCAGCAACCAGGTCCTTTTTCATCTCCTCATGCCATCCGTAATAGTGCTATGTAGCACGTAGTGGTCAGTCAGTCTCTGATGCAAGTGCAAATGCACTGTATTTTGCAAATTCTTTATGTTGAATGAACAGTATGCAGTAGAACTGCAGTATACAATATAAAGTGCTCAAAAATAATGTAAAGAAGGGGGAAAAAGACACCTAAGTTTTAGTGACCAATCTTTGCTTCGGCCAGTTGGGTTTCTTTGGTTTCTTTTTGTTTGTGTTTTCCTGTTGCCAGTGTAATTTGTTATAAACTCTGGCTTTTGAGTGTAAACTTATTTGATTGTTCTCATTGGTAGAGTCATTTTTAGGATCTGCGTCAACACTAGATATATCCAGTTTCATCAGCCTTATTAACAGAAGAGGATATAAGGACAAGAGCAATCAAAGGAGAGTTAAACTAGGACAGTACTTAAACCTGAGAATATTAGATGTAAAAAGGCTCATCAACGACCTAGTTTTAGGAGTTTCATAAGCTTTATGAGCACATATTGGCAGCATGCTTTTCTTTGCAGTAGTTTTAGTTCATCCTTGAATTAATGTAATGGTAGTTCTTAGATTCCCAGGTTGATTTCCACTTCCTAAAATTGTCACCAACATTGAAACTACCTTGTTCCTTTATTAAAATGGAGCTATTTTAAAATGTCATGGTTTACTTTTAAAACTTGCTTTTATCCAGAATGCTAAATCATAAAGAGATGAAGCAAAACCACCATTTCTGTATTAAAATCTTAGTAAACCTAACAAAGAGTATCTGACAGATGAACCAAAGTGGGTAACTTCTCTTAGTTCAGTGAAATCTATAGGTCTCTCACACTGAGGTAAATGTAAACTTAGTTTTGGTCTCTGAAAGTTTGACGTCTTTTGTTAATTTGTTGTGGCAGAGACACAAAGGGCCTGTGATGATGCATTTGGAAGTAAAAACGGTGAAACATCAGTATCAGCTCAGCATTAGTGCTGTAGCGATAACCTTTATGCTTAATTCTCTTACTTACATTAAAACATGCATAAATTTATTCTGCAAAAAATAATTTTGCATAGCCTGGTTAGTTAGGTACCCCTGTTAATGAAATCTAATTAAATATGCTGTTTGCCACTACTTTAAGAGAACATATTTCAGAAGTGAAATGCAAGCCCTATAAAGTACTATTTGCATAAATTAGTCAGTTTATTTGACTGCCCAAATGCTCATGAGATGTCTTGCTCTAAATTCTTAGAAATTCTCTCAGTTCTCTTTGTCTACATCTAGGAAATACTCCATTTGAAACTTTCCTTATTCTGATGATATGCCTCAAAATGGTTTAGAGAAGTAGTGTGGTACAGGATACGTGGTTCTTTCCCCCAACAGACTTTTGCTGCTTTCATCTTCTCTTTCACTAACCCACAGTGTTGCATCTCAGGAATATATAATACATAGAACAACCTGCCAAATGGGATTGGTCCCCTCTGAAGAACAACATAATTTCTACTTATTTCAGTAACCCTAAGTTAGAGTAGGATGGTTTGCACATTTTTATTATTATTTTTATGTCATTTATTTTTAGCTTGGAAGCAGAAAAGCATTGTTATATCCAGTCATATGGATAATTTGAGCTAGCCACAGTGTATAAAACTCCAGAGAACAAGACAGGATGAGGAGACCATAGAAGAAAGAAAAATGTACATTTTTGAAAAAAAATGCATATCTTTTACTTCTGTTCATGAATTACTAAATCGTTCCTTCTATTGGCTGCTGTGTTTGCTTCATACTAATATGTCCTCTCTGTCTCTTGGCATGGTTTCTGCTCAAGGCTATTGTAAGTATGGCTTCCTATTCATTTCTCTATATTGAGCAATTTTATTATTTATATATTATCTGCCATTATAGTTGATGGTATTAAAATTTTAAATTACGGGGATTTTATGCAAAATGGACATACCAATATTACTTGCCTTATAGGTTTATGCGCTTTACAGTTAAGATACTGAAAAGATATCTGCCACTTGAAAACTTGAATATCTCCCCAGCCTTACCTTCTTAAGCTATAAGATGGGTTACTGTTACTCAGTGTTGTGAGGTTAACATGAGACAATGTATATGACATGCTTTAGTGCAGTGCCTGACATATTAACCACTCATTAAATCATTATTTTATTATATATTTTCTCAGAGTTAAAATTAATTTTGTAGAGCCTAATTACAACATAAGTGAAAAATTAAAGTTTAAGGTATTTAGAAAGTGTTTTCATTTTACCCTGTGTACTGAGGAAGGAACAAGCATAATAGGAAATTAATAGGGTTATTATCTTTTTTATGTTTGGGGGAAGCAGTGATGGAGGACTTCGTGGTCCACTGATCTAGCTATAGTTAATATACTGCGCAAAGAAATGAATTTTAAATATTCCAGAGTTGTGTTAGAATGGATTTGATTAAATAGTTACTGTAAGCGTTATTGAATAAGGTGACTAAAAATCAAAGAACTTAGTGTGTGGAGTTTTTTCTCCTTATCACTGCTATTGATTGATTGAACAGTTTGTTTAATAAGCCTATATTAATTGTGTTTGACTGAATTAATTATGTAACCATTTACCTCAGAATGTTTCCTGAAATTCACTAATTAATATGTACCTTACAAGTGTTAAGTTTATGAAACCTAAGGGTCCTATATAAATGCCACTTACTATTTGATTATTTTTAGGTCAATTCTGATCTCCTGCTTTTCAGGATTTTTTTAAAAATACCCCATCAAAGCTGCATTCTCTAGCATGTTAAATTCTGTATATATATCATCCTTCATATTCCCATACCATCACGTAAATTATTTGCAACATGTGCCTATTTGTAAATCACTGATCAAATAAGTCTTAAGTATTTATGGAAATTGATCCCAGACTTTATCATGATGCAAGGGAAACAATATAAAAAATGTCTTATGGAAAGTCTATTATTATTAGAGTTCTACCTGCCTGCTGAGTCCAGGGATATTATTAGGTCTACATGAGTGGCTTTTTTCCCCCCCCGACTATAAATAGGTAATTCAGAGATGCAGTTTCTGGGTATTTTATACTGATTGCTGTCACTTATGGGCTGCTCTCTCCCTTATCAAAGGGAAATAAACTTGGTACATTGTGTGTTTTGAGCTCTTTGACCAGAGAGATGACTGAGGGCTCACTCAGAGTTAGGTAATACTATGAGCTTAATTTTTAGAAAATAATTATTAGTTGTAAAATGTTAAGTAATAAATTATTTTTTTATTTTCCATTTTCAGTCAGTTCTTCTAAAAAAGAAACTTGAAGAACATCTGTAAGTATAAACGCTATTGAGGCTTATTCTTATATTACCCAGTGAAATATAAGTGTTTTATATTAGGTGGTTACACAGTGTTTAGGCAATGGCTTGGGTCTCCCTTGAAGATATAGAACATTGCAAGATGTATATGAAGAGTGTCTAAAGGGTCGTCTCCACCAAAGATCCTCAAATTGGAACAATGACTGCTTTAGAACTGTTTTCAAATGAGATTCCAGGGTTTTACTTCTCCTTCATATTTAAAGGATAACTTTGCTGGATATATTATTCTTGGCTGGTAATTTCTTTCAGTAGTGTGACTATTTGGTTCCACTCTGGTTTGTAGAGTTTCTGCTGAGAAGTTAAATATAACTTAATGAGTTTTCCTTTATAGGTTACTTTCTTCTTTTCCCTGACTGCCTTGAGAATTCTTTCTTTGTCATTAATTTTTGACAGTTTTAATATAGTATGCCTTGGAGAAGACCTCTTTGGTTTGAGTCATTAGGTGTTCTGTTTGCCTCTTGGATTTGTGGAACTAGCTCTTCTCATAGGTGTGGGGAGTTCTCGTCACCTCTTCATCTGAATAGGCTCTTCTTTCCCTTCTCCCTCTCTTCTTCTTCTGGAACACCTATTATCATATTGCTCTTTCTGGTGGAATCAGAGTGTTTTCTTTCATTTATTTTAATGCTCAAATCTCTCTCTTCTTCCTTCTGAATAATTTCTAGATTTGTATCTTTGATATCACTAATTCTTTCCTCCTATCTGCTTCACTCCATTTCCTATGCTCACTGGTTCATTTTTTATTATTATTAATTTCAGAGAGGAAGGGAGAAGGAGAGACAGAGAGACAGAGAGAGAGAGAAACATTATTGATGAGAGAGAATCATTGATCGGCTGCCTCCTGCACGGCCCCTACTGGGGATTGAGCCTGCAACCTGGGCACGTGCCCTTGACTGGAATCGAACCCGGCATCCTTCAGTCTATAGGCCAATGCTCTATACACTGAGCCAAACCAGCTAGGGCTCACTGGTTCATTTTTTACCTCTTTTATTGAGTTCTTTATCTCTAGAATTCCTGTTCAGTTCTTTCTTAAAATTTCAGTCTCTTTGGTAAAATACTTGTTTTGTTCATTAATTTCTTTTTCTGAGTGCAATAAATTGCCTGTCTATATTTTCTCACATTTCATTGAATATTTTCAGAACTGCAATCTTGAATTATCTGTCATTTATATCACATATTTCCTTGTGTTTAAGGTTGCTTTGTGGAGATTTTTCATTGTCTTTCTGAGCTGCCTTGCTACCTTGGTTATTCATGGTATTGGATAAATTCCTTCTCTGTCTAGGCATCTATGTTTGAGTAGCACCTCTCTAGCAGATTAATACAAAGAGGTCTTTCTATCATTTTCCAGTAGGTGGTGTTAAATCACAAGTTTTTTAGCTCTGGGAAATTCCAGTGCTGAGCCTGCAGTGTCTCTGGCTGCCATCAGTGTAGCCACAATGTGTGTGGGTTGGGTGGCCTAGGAGAACTCTGTTGCCTTCTTTGTTTTGCCCTCTTGGTAATGGTGGCCTTGAACCTCTGCGGGGGTCTCCCTTTGCCCTGACCTGGGACCAGTCACAGAGTACACCCTTTGCTCCGGGAAAATCGTGATTCTGTAATACCAGTTTTCGGGTTTTCAGGTAATGTACTCCGCAACATGACACCAAAGGAGATGGGAGGATAGAGTCTATGAGGCAGCAGGCCTTTGTGGCTTTGTTTCTCAGTCTAGAATTCCGGCCACCCAAGAGGCACAGGTACACCCCGTGTTGTGTCCTTGCCCCAGTCTCTGACTCAGTCTCAGCTCATGCTGCTCATTTCACCGAGTCTCTCTGCTTCTCCTGGCTGAAGCTAGCACCAGCCACAACTGGTTCCTCCCCTCTCCAGGCTGAGCCCCGCAGTTAGCTCCCAGCTGCAGGGCTGAGTGGCTCATCTTCCTTCTGCCTTCCAGCCTACCCAGTTTGTTCCTGCTGGCCCACCTTTAATGCTTCAATGTGCGGATCTCAGGCATGACTGTACACTGAGCAGGGAATCCTTTATTGAGTTATAGCTGTTCAAATTGCTGAAACTTCAAGGGGAGAGACCAAGGGCATCTCTCCTGCTGCTCTTCCTCTGACCTGAATTATCCCTTTTAAGTAAATTTTTGAAAAAAAGTATTATAAAGTTTATCAGTAGCAGACTATCAAACATTTCCTTGAATTGCAGATATATCTGAACATGGCTTTTTAATCTAAATGGTGAAATAAGTTTCAAAATATTACATTTGTTTTCTCATAAGGAAGAAATTTTCATCCATCTTTATCTTTATCTGAGGTTGACAATGTTAGGAATGTTTTATGATTTTTCTCACACCCAGGATTAAACAAATTTAATCCTTCCTGTCACTTTCTAGCAAATGTCTCTCCTTGCAAACATTGAGTGCAGAGTGACCATGAATTGTTAACCTGTTAGAATGTTAGTGTGGCACTGTAGTAAACCAGATAGCCTCAGTAGATAATTTTTACTTGTTCTGTTGAGATTGGAAAGACATTCTGTAGTCTGGCACCTTACCTCATGCTAAATTTTTTTTTTTTTAATGTGGGGAAGGTGAGATACTCCTTGCAACTGATACTTGCTAGCAAGTCTAACAATAGGCAGATTTTTAATGTATTAGAACAGAAAATGTTACCTCCCAGCCACTGTAAGGTTACCTAGAGTCAGGATTTAGTACTGAATTCTTCCCATTTCTTTATTGGCAAAAAGAGGATACCGGTCGTTTCATAAAATTATGGTCTGACCATTTTTTGTGTTTAGTCATTTACAAGGTAAAAATCGTCATTAAAAGAATTGATTAGAGATGAGACCTGTATTCATTTCCTGTGGTTGCTATAACAAATTACCACAAACTGCGGGGGCTAAAACCAATAGAATTTTATTCTCTAACAGAAGTCTGAAATCAGGGTGTCAACAGGATTGGTTCCTTCTGTAAGTCCTAAGAGAATCTGTTCCATGCCCCTCTCGTATCTCTGGTGGCTGCCAGCAATCCTTGGTGTTCCTTGGCTTGTAGGTGCATCACTCCAATCTCTATCTTTATTTCCATATGGCATTCTCCCCGTAGGTCTGTGCCTTCTTAGGACTTTCAAGGATACCAATCATTGGATTTAGGGCCCACCCTGGTCCAGTATGAGTTCATTTTGACTAATCACATCTGCAAAGAGTCTATTTCCAAATGTCACATTCGTAGGTACTGGGTATTAGGACTTCACCATATCTTTGGGAAGACACAGGGACCATAGACATCTTAAATGATGGTCAATTTTATACACATTTAAAGTGACAATGGAGATCATTTTACACACACCAAATTGGTAAAATTTAAGAACCAGACATACTGAGTATTGCCAAAGATGTTGAGCAATGGTAATTCTCATCCATTGCTCGTAGGAGTATGTAGCAGTTTACTTAGTAAACTTAAACATGAACATATTCTGTGACCTATCAATTCCACTCCCCTATATATGCTCTAGACCAGCAATTTTCAACCTTTTTCATCTCGTGGCACACATAAACTAATTACTGAAATTCTGCAGCATACCAAAAAATTCATTTTTGCCCATCTGACAAAAAAAGATATAATTTTTATTGATTTACCCCAAAAATAATAATGGTAATTCTCTACTCTTTTTGCTCCATAGTGACTTTTTAAAAAATCAGATGCATATACTTACAAGGATTTCTGGTACCAAGAAGTAACCAATCACACACAGCCTTATTTCGCAACTCTATTATATGAGCTATATATTTATGGTTCAAGACAGGGCATTCACACTGGAAGGCTATTGTTGTGTTGGCTGTTGTCATATTTTCATTTGACAACCTAAGGGAAAAGAGGTCAGTGCCCTTGACTAGTCAGGTATTTCATGTTTTAAAAATTCTTGCAACATAGTGGTTGAAAATCGCTGCCCTAGATTCCTAGCAATGCTGTTGTCCATGTGTACCAGGAGACATGTAGAGGAAAGTATGGAAGATCATCTATATATATAAAAGCCTAAGTGACCAAACGACCAGTTGATCGGTTGCTGTGATGCACAATGACTACCAGGGGGCAGATCCTCAATGCAGGAGCTGCCCCCTGGTGGTCAGTGCGCTCCCACAGACAACCTCCCGCAGTCCCAGCCAGCTGCCCCCCCCACCCCCCCAATCAGCCCTGATCGCCAGCCAGGCCGAGGGACCCCACCCATGCATGAATTTGTGCACTGGGCCTCTACTTGTTTATAATCACAGAAAAGTAGAAACAATACAAATACTACTAATGCCCTGGCCAGGTTTCTCAGTTGGTTTGAGTATCATTCCCAATACACCAAGGTTGAAGGTTTAATGTTCAGTCAGGGCACATACAAGAAGTAACCAATGGCCTGGCCAATGTGGCTCAATGGTTAACTGTTGACCCATGTACTAGGAGGTCACCAGTTCAATTCCCTGTCAGGGCACATGTCAGGGTTGTGAGCTCCCCAGTGGGGGGCTTACAGGAGATAGCCAATCAATGTTTTGCTCTCTTCAGTGTTTCTATTTCTCTCTCCTTTTCTCTCTCTGAAATCAATTAAAAAAGAAGCAACCAATGAATGCATAAGTAAGTAGAACAAAAAATCAATCTCTCAAAATCAATCAGTTAAAAAATAATACCAATTGTAAAATGATAGAGTAAGGTAATTTCAACAATAGGACATTATACAGGGGTAAAAATGTGTAAACTAGGATTAACACACAGCATAGATGAATCACAAGAACATAATATTAAATAAAATATGGAAGTCACAGAATGATACATACAGTATAAGTATTGTATAATGTAAAAATTGGGCAAAATTAAGCAATACATTTTATAGGAATACAAAGGCCTGTCACAAAAGTCATGAGAATGATTAAAATTCTGAGGTTTGGTTACCTCTGGGACGGGTAACCAAACTATATATGTTTATTTGTGTGTGTGTGTGTGTGTGTGTGTGTGTGTGTGTGTGTGTAGGGTGGGGCAAAAGTAGGATTACGGTTGTTCATATAGAAAACAATACAATCTATAATAATAAAAGTATAATATGCTAATTAGACCGGACATGCTTCTGGACAACCTTCTGGACAAAGCCGTGCTGTGAGGGAAGGCCCTGATCCCCCCTCAAGGCTTTTCCACCTGCTGCTGGTGCCGCTTGCATCTGGTGCTGGCGCCAGCCTCAATCACTTCGCGCCATCAGCGGGTTTGAGAAGGGCTGGCGCTGTCAGCACATGGGAGCAGCGGCAGCAGCAGGAGTGGGGCTGCCAGCAGGCGGGACCAGGGGCTGCAGTGGGAGGGGCCAGGAGGGGGCACGGAGGATGGGCCAAGACCCACCCCTGTGCCCACTGCAACCTCGCAGCCCACAGTTCCTTTCAAGGTGCACAAATTTGTGCACTGGGCACCTAGTAATCTACACTAATAAAAGAGAAACATGGTAATTAGCGTACGACCGCTACCCTTTTCATTGGCTAATCAGTGAGTATATGCAAATTAACTGTCAGCCAAGATGGCGGCCGGCAGCCAGGCACTGAAGCAAACAGGGAGGCTTGCTTGCTGCAGACTCCAACGTTCCCCGCCTCACTTGCCAGCCTCTCAGCTGCAACTCTAAGCAACTATATACTATGTTGCAAATAAGAAGCTAAACAAAACCCCAGAAAAGGGCTTCCATTCAGCCGGGCTCGGACCGCAACATTGTATCGATGTTTTCAGCAGCGAGGCCTCAGAGCTAAAGCTGCCCCAGAATAAAAAAAAAAAAAGAAAAGAAAACAAGGAGCGGTTGGAAGCTTTAGTCACTCGCCAGCCGGAAAACAGCCCTCAGCCCCTCACCCAGACTGCCCTCCCAAGGGGAGTGGCCTGCGGGATCAGGCTGAAACCACCTGTCCAACATCCCCGAGAGGTCCCAGATTGCGAGAGGGTGCAGGCCAGGCTGAGAGACTCCACCGGTGCAAGATCAGGCCAGGGAGGGACCACAGGAGGGCTCCAGAGCGTGTGTGGCCCATCTCGCTCAGTCCCAATCAGCCGGACCCCAGCAGCAAGCTAACCTACCGGTCAGAGCATCTGCCCCCTGGTGGTCAGTGGATGTCACAGCAAGCGGTTGGGCAGCCTTAGCATATCATTAGCATATTACGCTTTGATTGGTTGTTCGGTTGTTCTGCCGTTTGATCTATTTGCATATTGCCCTTTTATTATATTGGATTATGCATTTAAAAGAGTAGAAATAGAGAAAACAAAGTACTCTATTTTCTATTTTTCTGTATTTTGACAGCCTTTTTTCTTTCATATTATAGAGTGCCACACTAAATACTGTATAGGGAGAATTACACATATAAATGCCAGGAACAAAGTTTCTTTTTGTTAATTCATTTTTTTACATTTGTATTGGAATTTAACTTAAATACACAAATCTTAAGTCCCTAAGTCTACAAACAGCTTGATGAATGTTTTCCTACATACATAGGTAACCCATATCAACATATAGAATGTTTGCAGCAACCCACCAGGATTTATCCTTGTCCCTTGTAATTGATTGATTACATCCCTAAAGTAGCCACTGTGCTAATCTCAATCACTTTTCCTAAATTTTTAAATTTTCTGAACTTCATATAAATGTAATCATTCATTATTGCCCTATTTGGTCTGACTTTCTGTGTTCAGCAGACTGTGATATCTATCCATGTAGTTGCATATATCTTTCTTTTCTATTGGCATAGTGTTCTCTCCTTATTTTTAGAACATCAACGTTTTGCAATAAGATTTTGCATTGTAAAACCTCAGCAAAGTTTTAAATTTAATTTTTATAATACCCTTTTTCCTAGGAAAAATATAAACATCATGAAGTTCTTTGTACCCTCTTGTGCAGGGTGGGGCAAAAGCGACTACTATTTCAAACTCTAAGATTAACTTATTTTTTAAAATCTATTAAATTCATGTTGGATTTGTCTTTTCATCTCTGTTTTAAATATTCTTTTTTTAAAATATATTTTTATTGATTTCAGAGTGGAAGGGAGAGGGAGAAAGAGATAGAAACATCAATGCTGAGAGAGAATCATTGATCAGCTGCCTCCTGCACGCCCCCTACTGGGGGGTCAACCCCACAACTGGGGCATGTGCCCTGACCAGGAATTGAACCGTGACCTCCTGGTTCATAGGTTGACTCAACCACTGAGCAACACCAGCCAGACTCATTTTGTTTTATAGCACTATGAGCTGTGCAACTGAATCCCATGAATAAAGAACTTACATTTTTCATTTGAACAGTAGTAGGTGACACAGTTATATATTTTGTTACAGAGAGAAACTACATGAAGCCAATAATGAATTGCAGAAGAAGAGAGCCATTATTGAAGATCTCGAACCAAGATTTAACAACAGCTGTGAGTTTTTTCTAATTAGCATAGTGTTAAATTAGTTAGCCTTACTTCACCCTAGTGATGAGTTTATATAAAATTGTTTACTTTAGAAATGGGCCTTATTTTAAAGGATTTGCTTTATTTTTTAAAAGAGTGTATATATATATATATATATATGGTCATCTTCACAGTATTTCTTAAATTTCTAATTATAGTTGTGTTTTTCATTCATTAACTGTGAGGGATAATGAATACTTTATTAAATTAGTTTTTTTGTGGTATAGTTGAATATAAGTCAAAGTTTTACTTCCTTTTAAACTTACATATATTTGTAGTTTGACTTCATTAATTCTTTTTTGTGGAAGGTGAAGTAAAACATAGAGTTTTACTTTTTTTCATTGTGGTAAAATGTACATAACATACAAATGACCATTTTAACCATTTTAGGTATACAGTTCAGTGGCATTAAGTATATTCACATTGTTGTGCAAACACAAGCAATCACTCAATTGTCCAGTGTAGTGATGTTGTGCAACTACCATCATCTCCAGAACTTTTTTTATCCCAGACTGAAGCTCTGTATCCTTAGCCCCTGGTAACCACTATTCTACTGTCTCTGTGAATTTCACTCTTTTAAGTATTCCCATTCATACCACTGGAAACATATAATATTTGTCCTTTCATGTCTGGCTTATTTCACTTAGCATAAAGTCTTTCATTTTTACTTAGTATAATGTCTCCATGTTGTAGCATGTATCAGAATTGAGGCTGAATAATATTCTATTGTATATATATGTATATCACATTTTGTGTATCCATCCATCCATCAATGGATCTTTTTTAATTTGAGTGCTTTCATAGTAGAGTTTTTGTTTATAAGAAAAGCTTTTTGTAAAAAAATTATGAATTGTTTTTTTTAAAAAATATAGGAATAGATCCATCTCAAAGCTATTAACTACTTACTGTTAGTTGAAATGTTTTTAAAGTTGTTACAATCTAAAAAAAAATTTTTTTATTGTCTTATCTGTAGCCTTAAAAATTGAAGAGTTACAGGAAGCTTTAAGGAAGAAAGAAGAGGAAATGAAGCAAATGGAAGAACGATATAAGAAATATTTAGAGAAAGCTAAAAGTGTAAGTATGCATTCATGGACATCTCACTTCACTTTCCGATACTGTTCCACTGACTTCTCAAAATGCAGGTACAGTGACTTCTCATGCAGAGCATCAGGAGGAGAACAAGAAGTACCAAGAGGAAAATGAACCTTTATATAGGAAACTAGAGGCCCGGTGCGCGAAATTCGTGCACTGGGGAGTGGGGGTTCCCTCAGCCCAGCCTGCCCCTCTCACAGTCCGGGAGCCCTCAGTGGATGTCCTACTGATGGGTGTGTGTGTGGGCCTGCCCCTAGCCGTGCCATGTAGGCTCAAGCAGTTGCCGTGTGTGTGTGTGTGTGTGTGTGTGTGTGTGTGTGTTCGTCCCCACTGGGGGTCTGTCCCCAGCCACATTGGAGGCTCAGAGCAGGCACTGTGTGTGTGTGTGTGTGTGTGTGTGTGTGTGTGTGTGTGTCTGTCTGCTGGGGGCCTGCCCCCAGCCACACCATGGAGGCTTGGAGCAGGAGCCCCTCTGTGTTGATCTCTCAGGCTCCTGGCCTCCACTGCATGTTGTACTCTCCCTTGAGCTCTGGCCAGGATGGGGGTGCTGCTTGCAAGCCGGGCTTTCGGGCTTTCCTGCCGCCATGGCAACGGGGGAGCAGGCCCAGCTGGGGGCTGTCCACAGGCCGGGCTTTCCCGCTTCCAGGTCTCCATGGCAACCAGGGAGCAGGCCCAGCTGGGGGCTGCCTGCAGGCCGGGCTTTCCTGCTCCCAGATCAGGTGCAGCTGGGGGCTGCCTACAGGCCGCACTTTTCTACTTACC